CGTCTCTCACTCGCCTCTAGGTGTCCGCCTGCACAAGGACGAGCCCGGCTTCAACCTGCGCGCCACAGACCTCCGCCCGCCGCCGCCCAACGCAAACCTCGACGACCTCACGCGCGGCGCAACCTTTTGCCTCTGCCCGTCGGGCACCGGCTGGGGCATGCGCGCTTTCCACGCCGTCGCGCTCGGCTGCATCCCCGTCATCATACAGGACGACGGCTCGGGCAGCTACCCGTCGGTGCTGCAGGCCTTCGAGGGGCCGCTCCTCGACTGGGCCTCCCTCGCCGTCCGCCTCACGTTTGCAGACATCCCGCGCCTCCCCTCGCTGCTGCGCGCCCTCGCGGCAGACCACGAGGCCCTCGCCGCCAAGCGGCGCGCCCTCGTCGCCGCCCTGCCGCGGCTGCTGTGGCGCGAGGCGCTCGCGACCGAAGAGCGGCGAGCCCTCGACGCCATGCCCGACGCCTTCGACTCGGTGATGGAGGTGCTCGCGGGCCGCAGAAACGCGACCAGATGAGCGCGTTGCACGAACATAGTCGATGTCCAAGGCGCATCGTGTCGACCCTCGTGTGGTCGTGTGCCACTCTCGTAGTAAAGCTATCTCATTCTCGCTCGATCTCTCGGTTCGGTCCGGAACCGTTGCGAGATGTGTCTGCACACGAGACACGTTCAGCACAAGTTTCAGCACGACACCACATTCATACCTTGTTCTTATGTTTTTCCTGAGAGCTCTCAAAAGTCAAATGTGAGTAAACACATATTAAACAAAAAAGATGGGTGATCTGTGATCTGTAAGGGTCCGCCCGCAGGCGCATTTTGTATACCGAGGCGGTGCCCGGTGCCGAACCTGTCGGACCTTAAGACAGCATTGTAGATCCCTGGGCGAGGGTGGTGGAGGGGGCGGTCCGGCGGCGGAGCACCCACCTCCTCCCGGCGCGCCGGTAGGCAGGATGTCATCCCCCGTGATCCAGACTGCCCATGGGGTGACTGTCAGCGCTAAACCGTAACCCGCCGGGGGGCGGGCCGGATCCACGCGTTCCCAGACAGCCCCATTGGAGGTAGGCCGCTCGTCTAGCCAATCAGCCTTAAGCGAGCGGCCTGGCCGTTGGAATGGCCGAGAGTGTCGGCCGGCCGTTCGGTCTCTTCCCCGGGGGGGGCCTCAATGACCTAGTTGCCCGGCCGAGGAGGGGAGGACGACTGTCTCTGACGGCGAACCTCAGTTACGAGCCGCCCTCCCCTCGAGACGCGAGGCCAGCGCACTTGGGGCCGAGCCCCAGCGTGCACCGCCCCACACGCCTCACGCGGCCTCTGGCTGGAGCGGGATCGCAAGCGAGTCCCCCTGGCCGGCACGCGTCTTCCGAGATGGGTGAAAAGCGTGGTGAAAAGCCGTAGGCGTAGCTGGTAACTCCCCCCTCTTCGTTCCTCGTCTAGCTGTTGCTAGTTCACTTTATGACCCAAGGTATTTGCATTTGCATTTGGCACCCATGCCAACAGTGTAGCACTTCTTGGAGCATGAGCAAAATAAAAGATGACCCCCCTCCCCCCTATAAAGTTCAGAAAGAAAGAAAACAGACACGCCAAACGAGGGATAGGGAGGAGGACAGGGTCCCCACCTGCACGAGCAGGATTTTGGAAGAACGATCAGGGGGACAGGTGGGGCTCTCCTGCTCCTGACAAGGGACACGACAGGCTCGCAGCGCGGTGCGCGGTGGACTCCCCTCCCCCCTCTCCGGTGTTTCCAGAAAATTCTTTCTTTCGCATCGATCGGGGTCTCCTCGCTCACTCCGCGTCCGCTGCTGAAGGCGTCGGCACGAAACTCGGTTAGGTCGGCCGTCTAAATCGGCGACGGGGGGATTGTGTCCCCCGGGGGGGGGGGATCATCCAAACTTCTCCGCCGTTGCGAATCAAGGCGTTACATCTCAACAAGTATTCTGGGCAGATTTGCCAAACCATATCCCCCCTCGACCCCCTTCGCCCCGGCATGCAGCTGTCGGCGAGCCACGAGTCGGCGAGCCCCGGCATGCCGTCCCGCCCAATTGCCGGCCCCGTTGCGTCTGCCCTCTCGCTCGGCGAGCAGGGAGGCCTCCTCGTCGACATGCTCATCGACGGGCCGGGCAGCGATGATGGCCGGTCGACCCCAGACAAGACCCCAGAGGTGCGGCGGCGAGGCGCGCTCTGCACGACGCCGCTAAAGTCGCGGATGGACGAGTGCGACAAGGGCGACGCCCGCAAGCCCAGCCAGCGACCCTGTTTCCTCTTCGGCTCCTCTCAGATCATTCTCTCACGAGCCAACTCCGACCCGGCTCCCTTCTACAAGACTGGGGGCGCGCGGTTGCTGCGCCCGCCGCCAGCGGCGCGCCAGTTCACGTCGCTCTGTCCCAGCAGCGATAGCTCGCCTTGCTCCTCCGCCCCCAACTCCCCACTGCTCAAGCCTCGAGCCTGCCGGGAAATCAGCACGGGCCCGACCCGCGTGGACAAGCCGAGCCCACTCAGCGGGGAGACACGACGCCGGGAGGTGCCGATGCGGTGTGTGTCGGCTGGGATGTGCTCCGGCGCGCGTCCGACGTCCCGATGAAGGGACCTCAGCGAAATGGCGCAGAGAGGAAGTCAAGAGAGCCAAAGGCATGGCCAGAGCCCAGAGGCCAGATGCAGAACGGCGTGTGCAGAACCCAGACGATCCTCTGCCCCAGTTTTGTCAGGCGCTAGCATACGCCTCTACGGGTTGTACAGTTGTGGCATGTCGCGTCCTAGGAGAGTGCGGAGAGTGCGCTCTCCGAGTGTGTGCACATTGCGTGATGTGTGTCGTGTGTGCAGTGTGTGTTGCAGTTGGCTGTGTTGCCTGCGGTTCGTGTTGCGAAACGTGTCTCTCTCTGACTCTTTCCCTCTCGAGTGTCTCGATGTGTCGTTGCGGAGCAATTGCTCCTTCTTTTCGAGTACCGTTCCTTGTTAAAGGCCCAATACAAGCCCCTTTCAGGTCAGCAAGGTGTATACAACTTGTCGCCGCTGCCTCCTGAGGCATAATCGAGGCGAGTACGACCTAGTACGCTCATCCCACGCCATCGCCCCCGGGCTGTCTATGCGGGTCTGGGCCCGCTGGTAAAACCCGCCCCGTCTCTGAGAGGCGCTGCGCATCCTGCCAAGTCAGTTGCGTGTCTGGGTCAACGAGAGGGGAAGGCCAGCCCTCAACCGCGTGCGCATACGGCCGCAGCACAGCCTCCACGCAAACAGCCTCGTCGGCGAGCTCCGGCAGCCATCGGCGCACGTACAACCCGCCGGCGTCGTACTTTGCGGCCTGTGAGACGGTGCGGAAGTGTCGCTGCTTTGGGTCGCCGCCAGCGCCGGCGAAATAGCTCCAGTTACCCCAATTTGCGCTGACCTATGTAAAAGAGTGCATGCACACGTGTACCTCGTGTTGTGCTGCCTGCTACCGACTCCACTCCTACCTCGTGGTCCGTTAGCAGCCACTGGAACCACTCGGCGCCAGCCCGCCAGTCAAGGCGCAGATCCTTCGCGAGGAGGGAGGCGGCGTTTTGCCGCACGCGGTTCGAACAGTAGCCTGAGCCCCGCAACGCACGAAAAACGTGAGGGACGCGCCGCCGCTGACTCCTGAGCTGCACGCGAGCAGTCGAACCCGTCTGCTGCAGCTGCCGCATCGCCGCGTCGACGAGTGGGAGGCCGGTATGGCCCGTCGCCCATCGTCGCCTACGGGACGCATCGTACACGTGACCTCCACCAGTCGCAAGGCTTTGGGGCAGCTCATCACCCGTCGGCTGTGCCAGGCGTTTTCGTGCTGCGCCGGCTGCAGCCACTCGACCAGCGCCTCGCCTCCCTTGGGAAAGCCCTTGCGCCCATGGACCGGCCTCCAGCCGCGGCTGCTGAAAAGGGCTGCCCCGGCAGCCATGCCCGCGTAGATGAAGTAGTCCCGCATCTCCATGTGCGAGCCAAGCCAGCCGCACCCCTCCGTGGCCGCGGCCGCCTCGTGCACCTGCCGCGGCGAGAGACAGCCCAGCGCGAGCGGCACGCCCAGCAGCGACGAGTCGGCCTCTCCCGTCCCCGCGATGTGCCGGTCGGCCGACGCCGCCATCCCGCTCCCCACGAAGCGGCGCAGCCGGGAGAGCGCAGCATGCTCAGTGGCGAGAGTGGCGGTGGAGCATTCCACACCGCTGCCTCTGATGCCGCCTCCGCCCTCGCTGCCGACCTCGGCGCCGCCCTCCCCCCCCCTGCCGCCACCATTACCGTCCTTGCTGGCGGGCCCTCCCGCGCGAAGAGCGGCCGCCACGACACTCGAGGCGGCCCCATCCGGCAAACCGAAGAGGAGCCGGCCGTTGGGACTAACTTCGAGAGCGGGCGCCACAAGCTGAGCGAGCGAGGGCAGTTCGCCAAGCTCCAGACCCAACCCCTATTGCGCAATGGAGTGAGTGTGGGTGCCTTCTTAAGAGCAACTCGCCGGAAGCATAGTCCCAGCTCCACCGTTAGTTCTGCGGGAGAGAGAAACCTCTGCCCCCGCAGACCGGCGGAAGTGGACTCGGCGGCTCTCGGTGGCCCATGCGACCGCACAGCGCGCCGCCAATCGCCCATCACGCGAGGCATCCCCTCGAGGCGACGCGCCCAGTCAACGCCGCCGCCGCCGTCCGCAGCCTTCCCAGAGGCGCCCGACGAGCCGCGGCGCTTCTTCGCGGGGTACTTTTGCCGCGGGTGGGCGAGGGATGCCCACTCGTCGGGCGCCTGTTCACGCTCCTCTCTGTCTGTGAGTACATAGTGCGCCGTGAACGCCGCGACGCTGGCTCGTCGGCTGCCGGCAACTCGTCGGGATGGAAGAGCGTGCACCCTCCAAGCTCGGCGCTTGCTCGGCAGCCGGCGCGCGTCATCGCCTCCCGCACGCGGCTCGAAGTGCGCCGCTCCTCCCAGCCAGCCTCCTCGTGCCACGCCACCTCGCCAGCGCAGCAGCGAGCGGCGAGCAGAGGAAGCTCCGCCTCTGGCCTTCCAAACCGGACGAGGAGCTCGCCACCGCGCGCGCGCAGCGAAGCACGCAGAGCTGTCACCGCCGCGAGGAGCGCCCGCGCGGCATGAGGGCCTGTTCGGACCTGTTCGCAGCCGAGGGTGTGAATAGACGCTGTCCGCAGCCATCGAGGGGCGGCGCGATGCGCCGGACGGAGCACGTCCCAAGCGGGTGTGAATAGAGGGTGTGAATAGAGGGTGTGAATAGAGGGTGTGAATAGAGGGTGTGAATAGAGGGTGTGAATAGACGGACCACGTCCCAAGCGGGTTGCGCGCACGACGGCACGCGGGCAAAGTCCGCAGGGTCAAAGATGTAGACTGGCACCACGCGGGTGATGCCCGAACACGCACAAGCCCTCCTCTCGCGGTAGAGAGCGTTGTCCTCGAGCCGCAGATCGCGACGGTGCCAGATGAGAGTGCAGCTGCCGCCAGCGACGCTGCCACTGCCGCCGTCGCCGCCGCCGCCACGGCCGCCATCGCTGCCGCCACTTTTGCCGCAATCGCGTTCGCCTCCGCCGCCATGCGCTGTAGGAGCCGGGCTGCCGCCTCTCGAGGAGGAGCAAAGTGGCGTCGGGGGCAACTGCAGTGGCGTCGATGGCGACGACGGCGGCGACGGCGGCGGCGACAGCGGCGACGGCGGCAACGGTGGAGGTGACGAAGGCGGTGGCGGCGGCGGCGGTGACGACGAAGAGAGTGGTGGCGGTGCCAGCGACGTGGGCGGCTGCGACAGCAGCGGGAGCGCACCCTCGGCGCAGTCCCTGACGACCAGCAGCCCGGCGCGGTGCGCGTCCGGTGCGCCACTGCGGCTCTGGAGGAAGCCCTTCTTGGCGGCGAGCGCGCAGCAGAGGCCTACGCAAGGCGGAGGGAAGGCTCAGGGAGAGGGTTGCCCGGAGCGCGTCTTGGCGGCGAGAGGGAGGAGAGGCCGAGCGCTGATACCGCCGCCGGGTCGCCGCCCTCCTCCTCCTGCGCCGCCCTCAGCTCGTTGGGCTGCAGGCCGTACAGAGCCGCCAGAGGAAGGTACTCTGCGGCGGCGCGCACCGCCGCGTAGGGAGAGTGGACGGCGCCGGGAGGGGTCAGGCCGCAGAGCTCGCGCACGCGCGCCGCAGCCATGCCGCCAGCCTCACCCTCTCCGCCCTCTCCCCCGCCGCCGTCACCGCCGCAGCCCCACGCGGCGGCATCGCTCGCGTCGAGGGCAGGCGTGTCGCGGACCAGCAAGCCCGGAGAGAGGTGCACCGCCTGTTCATCAGCATCGAGAGGTTCCCCGAGGTCAGCCACCCGAGGCTGCCCGAGAGAGCCGCCTCCTGCACGCGTCGGGTGTGGCCTGGCTGCCGCGAGACACTCGCGAGCCTGCGGCCGCCGCAGAGCGCGTTGAACAGCGACGACTTGCCCACGTTGCAGCGGCCGAGCAGGCTGATCACGGTGCGGCGGCCGCCGCCAACACGCATCACGGCTCTCTCTTCATGCTCCGCGGGCCCCTCGGCAACCTCGGCGTCGCTGTCACCACCCATGTCGCTGTCACCAGCGCCACCGTCCACGCCGCCGCCGCTGCCACCGCTTCCGTCGCTGCTGTCGCTGTCGTTGCTCATGATTTCGCGCGTCGCTGGCGCCGCCGCGACCGCCAGCGGCGAGGCCCCTCCCTCGCGGTGCTTTGCCCTCTGGTGCTTTGCCCTCCTCACGCCTCGCACGAGCTCCGACTGCTCCGCAGGCATCCTCGCGCCGCACACCTCCGCCAGCCGCTCCGCGTCTCGCCGCACGCTAGCGCGCTCCTGGTGACGCGGCGAGCAAGGGTGAGTCGGAGCGACGGGCGGGCGCGCGTGAGGCGCACGCTCCTTGCTCGTGAGGTGGGCTATGATGCAGGCGCTGGGCTATGTATCAACGAGCTCCTCGCTCGTGAGGTGGGCGTGCAGCCAGCGGCGGCGAGACCCGGCGCCGGCGCGCGCGCGAGAGACGTCCATTGCCCTGCCGACGGCGCTGAAGCGGAGGACGGCCGCCGCGTGCGGGCAGATGCGGCGAAGGTGGCCCTCCCACGCCCGCAACGCCGCCTCCTCCACCAGGTCCGCCTTGGAGAGGACCAGAACCACCGCCTCGCCGCGCCGCCTCAGCGCGCCGCGCAACTCGGCCGGCAGGTGGAGCAGCGGGTGGCGGCTGTCGAGCAGAACGCAAAGGACGTGCCGCGTCGCGCCTGACAGGCTCTTTTGGACGTGATCTAGACGGGACCTGGATGCGTCGCCGTCACGCAGCAGCCCTTGCCGCCGCCGTCGCCGCCGTCGCCGCCGTCGTGGCCTTCTCCGTCTGGCAGAGAGACCGCGGCGCTGAGCGCCTCAGCGCAGCGGGCGAGCGGCGCACTTGCTCGCAAGCAGAGCGGCGGCGCGCAGGAGAGCGACGCCGGAGAGCGCAGCGGCTCCCGCGCCGCGGTGAGCAGCACGTCGGGCACCGCCACCGTCTCGCCGCCGCCGTCCGATTCATCAGCCGCGTCGGCCGAGGCGGCTGCGGCCGTGGCGGCGGCTGCGGCTCGCGCCTTTGCCCTCTGCTCCTTGAGCTGCTTGGCCTTTGCCTGGGGGCAAGTCCGAAGCGTGTGAAGGCGCTGCTCCTGGTGCCGCCTCGAGCTGCCGCTGCCTCTTGCCTTGCCACCCTTGCCCACGGGCTGGTGCTCGGACCGCCTCTCCCGCCCGTGCCTCGCGCCGTGCTGCGGTTCCTCGGAGATATGCCTACCGCTCCGCCGGCTGGCGAGCCAGCTGCGGCAGGCGCTGCCCTTTGCGCAGGCGACCGCGTCCTCGTCCGCCGGCGCGCCCGCTCTCACGAGCCGCATGACGACGGGGAGATGGCCGCTCCGTGCAGCCTCGGCGAGCGGGGTGCGGCCCGCCCGGCAGCGCGACTCGATGTCGGCGCGGCAGGTGATCAGGTGCGCGACCACTCGCTCGGCGCCGCCGTTGGCCGCCGCGTGCAAAGGCGTCCACCCGACCTGGTGGCAGCAGGAGCCACGAGTGGAGTGAGAAGCAGCGAGGCTCAGTGGCTTGGCCGATACTCGACGAGTGAGCAGCGGTGAGAGTGAGCAGCGGTGAGAGTGAGCAGCGGTGAGAGTGAGCAGCGGTGAGAGTGAGCAGCGGCGATGGGTGAGCAGCGGTGAGAGTGTAGCGGCGAGAGTGAGCAGCGGTGAGCGGTGAGAGTGGCACCTTATTGCGGAGCTCGAGGTCCACACCTTCATTGAGAAGGCGGGTCACGGCCCTTACATCGTCGCGGCGGCAGTGGCTCCAGATATTGCCGGTGCGTACCTCGTATTGATCGCCCGCCTTGGCCATTGGCGACAGCTTCAGTTTCTCCGACAGGTCGCCGCGTCGACTTTTGCAGCAGAGGCGGCAGCGCAGGCGGCACGGATGAAGAGTGGGGTTCCAGGAAGTTGCTTTGGGGACAAGCAGAATTTTTTGAAACCGCAAGATTTTTTTTCGCGAGGTCTTCATTGTGAAAGGAAGAAAAAGACTTGCGATGCGAGAATCCCTGTCTTTAGGCGCCGAGTTGTTTGTCCGGCCACCAACAGCTCCGTATCCCCGACGCAATGACCTCTACACTCTACCCGTCCGCCTCGGTCGCCGACGAGGTTGTCCTCATCACCGGAGCGACCGCAGGCATCGGCGAGGCCTGCGCCTATCGTTTCGCAGAGGCTGGCGCCCGGCTCGTACTCCTCGGCCGCCGTGCGGAGCGGCTATCGGCACTGCAGGAGTCGCTCGCCTCAAAGTACGGCACACAGTCACACACCGTACAGCTCGATGTGCAGGACCTCGACGCAGTGGCAGCGCTGCCCGAGACGCTGCCGGCTAGCTTTGCCGCCGTATCAGTCCTCGTCAACAACGCAGGGCTGGCTCTCGGCGTCTCGCCCGCAGAGGCTAACGACATGGCCTCAGTCACGACGATGCTGACGACCAACGTGGCGGCCGTCATGGCCTTTACACGCGCCTTCGTCCCCGGCTTCAAGCAGCGCGGCAAGGGCCACCTCATCAACGTCGGATCGATCGCAGGGCACGAGGCGTACGCCGGCGGCTCCGTCTACTGCGCGACCAAGCACGCGGTGGATGCTTTCACCACGGCAGCGAGGCACGACCTGATCGCAACCCCGGTGCGTAGAGCAGCGGCAGTAGCGGCAGTAGCGGCGGCGAGGCACGTCCTCACGGCCTCGTGCGCGGCCTCCTCTCCTCTCTGCTTCCTTCCCCCTGCAGCGGCTGCCACCCTCTGCGAACTGGTCCGCAGCTGCTCCACGACCTTGCTGTCCAGGTGCGCGTCACCGCCATCTCGCCCGGCATCGTCAACACCGAGTTCTCCACCGTCCGGCTCGGCTCAAAGGAGAAGGCGCGCGCACAGACTCGCCTCCCCCGACACCAGCCCCGGCTGGGAGGGCGGGAGAAGGCCGCTCCACGCCCATCGCCGAACCGCGCAACAGGCGGATGCGGTCTACGCCGATGTCGAGCCGCTCGTGGCCGCCGACGTCGCCGACAACATCTTCTACGCGGCGACCCGGCCCGCGCACGTGCAGATCGCCGACATCGTCGTGCTGGCCACCAACCAGGCGGCCGCCAAGGCCATCGCCAGAGTGGGACCGTCGCTCGGCGCGTGACGGGGCGCGAGCAGGTGGAGCTGCACAGACTCGAGATCTCCGAGGAGGGCGGGTGGGCGGCGTGTGTCACTGTGAGCCAGCCGCGCTTTTATAGTGGATTGTGAGGGCAGAGGCGAGAGGGCAGATCTGTTCGGGTGACATCTCGGCGTCGAACATTTCCCCCCCTGTGTCTGGAGGAAGAGGCAAATCGAGAGGCGCCCAGAGAGTCCAAAACCGCAAAATCGCACGAGCGCGGGACGGGGGGGGGGCGGGGGGGGGGACTCTCTAGCGGTAGCGCCTGCTGAGAGCTGCTGCCTGCGCTGTGTCGACACCTCTGACCGTCGCGCTCTCGCGGCGGCAGGGGCCAGGGCTCGCGCCTGCTGTGCGAGACAGTCTGTGATGGTGTGATGTGCTACTCCTAGGATCGGTTTAACGAGATGACCAGGTCGGGGCTCTCGCACAGCATCCTTACAACTCAACCACACACACACCGAAAATCACACACCATGTCACACACACAACACGAGACCTCCTCATCTAGTCAACGATTTCGTCGTCCGACGCGCACGACGAGAGCGGCAGCCCCCGCGACGCCTCCGACAAATCTCCCGCGCAAGCCGGAAGGGCCGCGGCGGGGTCTGGCATCGCACCTCCGAAGAGCGCTTCGAGGGCAGGCTCCGACTTATCAAACGCCACGCCCAACGTCTCGTCGGGTGCTGGTGCCAGGCCCGCCGGCGCCCCCTCGGCCGCACCTGCACCCGGTGCCTCAAAATCGAACTCGTCGAGCAAGCTGCGCGCCGGGGGCAAGCCGAGCTGCGGACCGGGCGGGGGGCCAAACGCTCCCCCCTCCGGAAGGCACCCGTCGTCCGCACCCTCGTCCACAATCTCGCCGCCAAAGTCGATGAGCAGGGCGTCGCCCACGGCTTCCGAGCCGTGCTGCGGCGGTGGAGGGGCTGGCTCCCGCGGCGCCTCCTCGGCGTCGATGATCTCGCCGACGCCGAAGACGTGGTTGTCCGCGAGGCCTACAGGTCGAGACTCTCGGCGTCCGACTCTCGTGGCACGCTAGAGTCCGGGAGCGGATATCCGGGAGGCCGAAGTCAGCGAGCCCGCCCCCTAGCCCGCGTGGAGACCCCCCAGCCGCCGCTGCCTCGTCCGCCCTCAGCGACTCCGCTTCTGTACGAGCGCGCCGACCCCGCACCACCGCCTGCAGCCGCGCCGCTGACGCCACCTCCGCTGACCTCTGAGCCCTCGCCTCCGCCTCTGCTGCCTCCTCCGCCGCCACCCTCGCCGCCTCCGCCGCCGCCTCCTCCTCCGCCGCCACCCTTGCCGCCTCCGCCTCTGCCGCAGCCGCCGCCGCCACCCTCGCCGCCTCCGCCGCCGCCGCCTCCTCCGCCACCCTCGCCGCCTCCGCCGCCGCCTCCTCCTCCGCCGCCACCCTCGCCGCCTCCGCCGCCGCCTCCTCCGCCGCCGCCTCCGCCGCCGCCACCCTCGCCGCCGCCGCCGCCGCCGCCTCCTCCTCCGCCGCCCTCGCCGCCTCCGCCGCCCTCGCCGCCTCCGCCGCCGCTTCCGCCTTCGCGGCGGCTGCAACAGCCGCCTTGGCCCGCCCCTGCCGGCCTCGCGCGACCGCCTGAAGCTGGCTCGCCGATCGACCTTCGGAAGCGACACGCGCCGCCTCCATCTCCGCAGCCGCCGCCGCCGCCGCCGCCGCCGCCGCCGCCGCCGCCGCCGCCGCCTTCTCCGCCGCCGCCGCCTCCTCCTCCGCCTCCTTCTCCGCCTCGACCCGAGCCGCCTCGGTGCGTGCAGCCTCGGCCTCCTCCTCCTCCTCCCTGCGAGCCTTCTCCGCAGCGGCCGCCTCTGCTATCGCCGCCTCCTCCGCCGCCACCCTCGCCGCCTCCGCCGCCTCCTCCTCCGCCACCCTCGCCGCCTCCGCCTCCTCCGCCACCCTTGCCGACTCCGCCGCCGCCGCCTCCGCCGCCGCCGCCTCCGCCGCCACCCTCGCCGCCTCCGCCGCCGCCTCTGCCTCCTCCGCCGCCACCCTCGCCGCCTCCTCCGCCGCCGCCCTCGCCGCCGCCGCCCTCGCCGCCTCCGCCGCCTCCTCCTCCGCCGCCACCCTCGCCGCCTCCGCCGCCGCCGTCGCTGCCGCCGCCGCCCTCGCCGCCTCCGCCGCCGCTTCCGCCTTCGCGGCGGCTGCAACAGCCGCCTTGGCCCGCCCCTGCCGGCCTCGCGCGACCGCCTGAAGCTGGCTCGCCGATCGACCTTCGGAAGCGACACGCGCCGCCTCCATCTCCGCAGCCGCAGCCGCAGCCGCAGCAGCCGCCGCCGCCGCCGCCGCCGCCGCCTTCTCCGCCGCCGCCGCCTCCTCCGCCGCCTCCTTCTCCGCCTCGACCCGAGCCGCCTCGGTGCGTGCAGCCTCGGCCTCCTCCTCCTCCTCCCTGCGAGCCTTCTCCGCAGCGGCCGCCTCTGCTATCGCCGCCTCCTCCGCCGCCACCCTCGCCGCCGCCGCCGCCTCCTCCTCCGCCACCCTCGCCGCCTCCTCCGCTGCAGCCCTTTCCGCCACGGCAGCCAAACGCTCCTCTTCCGCTCTCGCCGCCGCCTCCGCCGCCACCACCCTCGCTGCCTCCACCTCGACCGTCAACTGTGCTTCCTGCGTCCGCGCCGCCAAGCGCTCCTCGGCCGCAGCGGCCGCAGCGGCCGCAGCAGCTGCCTCGACCGCGTCGGCGCGTGCCCGCTCCGCCTCCTCAGGTGTGAGTTCTATGACAGAGCGCTCCTCCTCCACATCCGCCTCGTCGGCAGCAGCCTTGCGAGCCGCCTCCGCCATTCGAGCCACCTCGGCCTCGGCCTCGGCCGCGTCCTCCGCCTCCAGCACCGCACGCACCGCCTTTGCGCCGGACGTGCGGCGCTCGACAGGCACGAGATCCATGCCTTTTTCCTCCGCCTCGGCCTTCTGGTAACCAAGCGCGCCGCAGCAGCCGCACAGGCCACTGAGGAGCGTGCTGACGATCTCCGTCATGGAGGTGGTGCTCTCCTCTGCTACTGACTCATCATCGCCCGTCGGCCTCAGCAGCCTCGCGGAGTCGCGCTCCATCGACGAGGGCGGGCAGGGCTTGACGTAAAAGCGCGGTTCGTAAGAAAAAGAACAAGAAATATTCTTGCATTTTTGCTCCCGGCTTAGGGAGCAAGCAAGCCCACTCAACCCCAAGTACTCACCATTGTTACAGTGGTGTAGCTTGTGCAGAGGCTGCAGCCTCTGCTGGGGCGGAACGCGCGGGGTTTTCGGCGCGATGCCCTCGGCGAGTACACGCTACTGCTGTGCCGCACGCTCTCCTGCGCGCGCGTGACGTGTGGGACGCGTGCGCTGCGCTCAAACGTCGCGATTTGGCGATAGGCGCTCGAGCCGGCGCACAGCGGATAGGTGCGCCGCGCAGGGGGGGTCGGAGGGGTGCAAGAGGGGGCGTGGGTCGGGCGCGCACCGGACGGCCCTGGGAACGGCCGTCACGTCGAGGAGTGGGGCTGTTGGCGGCTCGAGCGCCGAGGCGAGCCGCTCTGCTGCGCCGCCGACAGCCCCTCTTCCGAGCCGGCGCGTGGAGGCGAGCCGCGGCCGGTGTCGCTGGTGCGGGGGCG